CCAATTTTCTAAAAATCTCCACTGTCGATCATCTTCCTTGCTTTCAAGGGGAAAAATACCATTGTAGAAAGCAAAGGCATGAATTTGATGAGACAATACTACTCTTTTGTATCACAATTTGTCTTCCCAAAAAACTTATAAAATTGCAAATGGGCTCACTTCATTTGAACAGATAATCGATTCTGGAAAAAAAAAAAGGCTGGATAAGACAAGTTTTTAATCTAATTAACAATGCTACATGTACAGATAAATTGCACTGATGAGTTTACAGAATGCCTCATGACAATATTTCATTGAATTTTGGACAAAGATAAAATTAAAATAGTCAATCAGGTGCTGTCATTTCAGCACCTGTAAAAGTGTCTGTGCAATTTATTTGTGCAAGTATCATTTTTCGGTTATCAAATTTAATTAGCTGGTGTGTTTGATAAGGATTATGGTACAAGTAAATAATCATTTACATAATATATTACATAATTGACATGTGGCGCGCATTTATCGGTAATCTACAATTTTTGACTTTTCCACACTTCGCATTCACGGTCGGATTTCTTCCACATGAATCTATGTAATCCATTATGTACAATAATTGTGTACATATAGATTTATCCTTTTAATAATGTCGTCGAGATTGTATGTGTATTGACTTGGTCACATTTGATCCAAGACATGACAACATCTATGAGTACAGACACGGTCATTGAATTTCTCTTTAATGTTGTTGTCTTCCCTCCCATCAACTGTCAAAGGCTAACTACTCCAACCAAAAGTCTCTTACTCAAATTGATAAATTTGATTTCTTCGTACGACTTTTCTTGAACATAATCCCAATATATAAACATGTATGTATACTGGTAGATGAATTACACTATTATTCATTTGCTCTTATCCTAAAAGAATAAGCCATGGCTATTATGAAAAATCGATCGGGCTGCTGGTGTGTTCATTTCACAGTGTGCCTGATAGGTATGTTGCTGCTTCCATTGCCTTCTCAATCTTCAGATCCAGACCCTTTGCAGGATTTCTGCATCGGGGACACGAAAAGCGCTTTATCCGTTAACGGATTTCCGTGCAAGCCTGCTGCAAATGTCTCTTCAGACGATTTCTTCTTCGACGGGCTAAGCAAAGAGGGAAACACGAATAATACCTTTGGAAGCCTTGTGAATCAAGGCAACGTTTTGGCATTTCCGGGCCTTAACACGCTCGGGATCTCCATGAATCGAGTAGATCTTGCTCCCGGAGGACTCAATCCACCCCACTCCCATCCTCGAGCAACCGAGACAGGAGTACTGATCTACGGGAAAATCCTGGTGGGATTTTTAACAACTGGGAATGTGTTCTACTCCAAAATCTTGACTGGTCCTGGACAAATGTTTCTGATTCCTAAAGGGCTTGTACATTTCCAGATGAATGTTGGGGAAGAGAAGGCCCTGATTTTCACTGCTTTTAACAGTCAGTTGCCTGGATCTGTCATAGTTCCGAGGAATCTCTTTGCTTCAAAACCTTCTGTTCCTGATGATGTTTTAACAAAAGCTTTCCAAGTTGAAAAAACAGTGATTGATGAAATCAAATCCAAGTTTGGTGCTTGATAATGTTTTTAAGGGAATTTTTGCATTTTATTCTTTAGCTGAAAAAAAATAAAAGAAATAGAGGGATTCACTGCAGACAGATTTCTTATGTATTCCACCAGAAAATCAACGAGTGAAATATTCTAATTACTATGTTCAATACTTGTGTTTTCGTATGAGTTACTAATAATTTTCTAGAAAATACTTTTCTTCATTCTTTCAAAACTCTTTTTTTACACACTTATTTTCAATAACATATTCACACAATAAAATATTCTACATGCAAATCCAAGCCTTTTCCTTACTGTTTAGCTACACGTTCTCCAAAAATTCAATTTTCAAAACAAAATTTTTCCAAAAAATTTAAAAAAAATTGGCCACGAGGAAATTAATTTCAATTACATATTAATTATAACTATCCATTTATTATCTACATATGTCGTGTAATCAGTACTATTCCTCCTAGGAGGATAATAAATTAATAGATTTTAAATTCTTTTTTCGTATTTGTATTTTGTGCACTACTATTCAATGTAGCTCAACAATGCTATAGTGGTTTAATCATCAGAAATAGTTGCTCGATATTTAAATGAAAAACATTGTTGGAATATAAACCATCTCTCCAGTTCACCAGAAGTTTACCAGCACACCAGTTCACCAGCAAACCAGGCCTCCAGTTCAAGTGTTCAACAGATTACCTCCAGCACAGCACAACAGCAACACAGCAGAATCTGGGAAATAAACTGCTGCTAGTTTCAACTATAATTCCCGCCTAAATTCAGCTTATTCTAGCTTCTTCTAGTCTCTTCGTATGTTTGTT